TAAAAAACACGAGCAATGAAAAGGTGGGGCGGAGACTATCCGAAGGAAAGTCGTTAGGCACAGGATTGAAACAAATGGCGCTACAAACAAAAAGGGTTTACATACGTGGAACTTTAGCTGTCCGCTCCCATGGTCGTTAGCGCCGCCGTATACCCATGCTGCCTTTGGTCCGCTTAACGCGCGTAACTCAACCTTCGGTTTGCGAGACAGTGAATAATCAATATTCCTCCTCTCACCGATTGGCCGCAGTCGGAGGCAGTTCGGGCGCATGCGATTGGGCTGACTCCTGTCTGGTGAAAACACCAGCTGCAACTGATTGCAGCGCTGCGTGTGCATTAACCGACAGTAAAAGTGTCCACCTAACTGTGTTATCTACCTTCTGGTCCGGGAATTGTCGGGTCGTCGACCATCCTACCTCGAGAGAACTAACACGAGCCCACCTACCAATGAACAGAATTAATGTCTCCGGGCCATTGATGCCAGTTAAATGAGAAGCAACCATTTAGCCCCGGAGTGATGACGTGTGCAGGGCCCTTGTTCAAATTAATGTGCAATTTCGCGTGCGTTTTAGCAAACTGAAACAAAACGCCCTGTGTCAATACAAGTTTAGTCGATAGGCCTACCGGTTGAGGAGCCACACCCTGGACACTTTCGTACTCTTTAGGACAGCGGTCAAAGGCGACCGCCGGAGCGTGATCGCGGCGCTGAGCATGACTTTGCGATGTCAAAGAAGGGGGCTGGGTGGCAGCGAGGAGGGAAAGTCTGCACCAGTTTCATCAGTGCGCTTGGAGGTGACTGCCAATGTTCCTCTTACAAGTACTTGTTACGACCGTGTCCCTTCTATGCTGACCAGCGATACGGTGCCACGTACCAGTCTGTAGCAATGTATATGCGACAGGGTAGCATCGACCGTGCATTGTCGTAAAACGGCAATCCACACGCATCGACGACCAGGGCGTAAAGTATGTTTGTAGCGTAGGTCCCAGTCAACGAAACGACGTGCTCCACAGACAAAAAAACACCAGGCAGGACTCAGCCGTGGGACGCAAACAGAGTGGGTGCCGAGAGAGAGAGGATGGATATCGAGGGCTTTAGTGTATATGTATAAGGATTCGCATGGAGAACCGAAGCACTGAATCAAGCCATTATGGCCTTTATCTAATAGGCTACTCACCATCTGGCGTCAAAACAGATACGTACACATACACTAACCCTATTTGGACAGGAGAGGACATTTGTCAGAGGGGTCATAAGCAGCTAGTCGAAGAACCCAGTTCCCTCGGTGTACTGTCACGTGACATACTGTTAACACGGTAGAAAAGAAAAGAACGCGTGCCAGGGGTCAAGAATGGATGAATAGGTTCTAGGCAGAACACTGCCAAGACCCGTTTCAAGCACAGCTGGACGAGCATGTCCCGTAAGTCAATCAGTGAGTACGTTTCCAAAATAGTTAATGCTCCTGATCGCAACAGACGGGACAGTGAGCACGTGAGTCACTGGTTAGAGCGTCGTCCTTTATAACTCTGGTTTAATAAGAGTCCATTTTACAAAGTGTTCGTACTACTAGTAGTATAATTTCTATATAATAATGGGTTACACCGTACCCCAAACATAGTTTCTTGCTATAAGCCCAGACACACGTTTCGCCGATGTCTCCATTGCTGTATGATACAACTGCGAGTGATTCGATTCCTCAGAAGGTCCCCTAGTTAGCCCTTTGTAGTTTCTGGTATACGAACTCCAGACAATTATCAAGCTAATTGCCACAGATATGCTGCCGACAATTACCACGCACGAAGAGACAGCATAGACAACTTCAACCTAGTCTGGTAGTAAAGGAACGACTAGGGTGGTAACAAATGCCTATAAGCGGCACACTGCCAGTCCCCGCTGGAAGAATTGGTGAACCTGGCGGATACATCTACTTCATAATGTCCTGACTCCTAGCTCCCTTCTGTGGATCCAGGATAAAGTGCTCTGCGCGGCAGACACACCCCGGTAACTGTTCTTCACTGGCGGTGAATACCAGATGAGGGTATACGATGTCTGTGCGTCCCCGAATTAATCTTCAAACTCGTTCCTTAACCCCAAACAAAAAAGTCCTGCACAGTGGGTGACATGCAATCTCGTAGGCGGCTCAGGCTAACTCTGATCGTATTCCCACTAAACAAAGGTCATGACTCTCATAGTGGGGATGGGGTGGGATAGGTGCTCAAAAAACCACCTGTAAAACACATCGTCGGCAAGCTGACGGTCGCCTATGGGCACAAATTCCAGTCAAAAGCTACAAGAAAAATAACCCCGTACCTTCTTACAGGCTGCCAAAGTGAGCACTGTCACTCTGCCAGTCCGGAATGTTCGTTCCCTTTTGAGAAATTGCGCGACAAAATGTCCTGAAACGAGGACCTTTCTGGTCGTTCACGAACTAGCCCGTTACACACTGGACATTGCGGCTGTCTGTGAAGCTTGATTCGGAGACTAGAGCCAATTGGAGAAGGTGAGTGTGGGATACAACTTCTACTGGAGTGTACACCGATGATACCTTGGTGGCTTGTCGAAGTGCTGAAGAACACAGAGCACCTCGCCTTGGTGTTTGACCGCCTCGACAAGTATGGCGTCATTATCAATCGTCCTAAGTGCGCTATTGGATTCCCTACGTTTTAATTTCTTGGCCATCATGTCGACTCCGACTGCTTGTGTCCTCTGTCCCGCAAGACTGAAGCTATTCACGATCTTCCGCAAACAACCTTCAAGCGTCAGTTGCGACGTCTCCTCGTCATGGTCAGCTTTTGCCGCCGGTTCCTATCGAACTCTGCTGGCTTTATGCTGCCGCTGACCAACGTGCTTCCTGGTCCCAAGGGTCCCTCGAGCTTACTGGTGAAGCTCTGACTGCTTTGAGACAATCAAGACTTCCCTTGCGATGCCACCTTGCTCACGTCTCCCGCTCCCAATGCTCGGCTATAGGTGCAATCCTTCAACAACAACTTGTTGATTCGACTCCATCGCTGACCTTCTTCTCCAAAAAGATCTCGCCAGCTGAGTTGCAATATACTACCTTTGCTCGAGAACTACTTGCGATTAACCTAGTTGTGAAGCGTTCCTGACATTTCCTTGAAGTTCGGAACTTCATCATTTTCCCCGATCACAAGCCGTTGATTTTTCCCTTCGTTCCTACTCTGACAAGTGCAACCCAGGAGAGACTGCCCACATGGACTACATCTCCCAGTTCACCACCGTTATCCGCCACAGTGGCAGCACGAAGAATGTGGTGGCTGACATGCTGTCCAGGCCCTCACTATCTTCCCTCCAGCTCTCACACGGCATCGACCTTGGTAACATGCGGTTGAGCAAAGACGAGTCCGTTGTCACGCTGAGGATTTCCTTAGTGGTTCCCAACTCGCAGACGTTCACCTAACCATTGGTGCTGGTACCATCCTGTGTGACATCTCGACTCCTTTTAATCACCCCTTCATGTCCGTCTCGATGCGTGGAGTTGTGTTTCAAACCCTTTATGAACGCTCATATGTTTGTTCGGTGCAACTGTGTGCGCAAGCCGCTGGAACCGCCATACGAAGGGCCATTCCGCGTGCACTCACGCAATGCCAATACCTGTCGGATTCTTCGCGGTGACGAGGAGGACGTGGTCAGTATCGATCGGGTCAAGGTTGTTGTCGGAGAGGAGCCGCCGGACCTGCTTCAAGGACAAAACTGTTCTGACCCCCTACCCCGTGCTCCTCCACCTCCTCTACCCTATGCCCCACCTTCCTAACCCCCTCCTGCCATACTTCCCCCCACTATCTAGACCGTAACTCTTTCAGTGTCACTGAGATCCGCACCACTCGTAGCGGCTGCCGGCTCCGTTTTCCCGACGGCCTTATCACTCAAATGCTTTCACGCCGGCCTTTGGCATAAATTTTCAAAGCTACTCCATTTATTAGTCATTTCCTAAACTCGCATTTATTCATGTTCGTTTAAGTTGGTGTTTACGTGGTAAACCCCAACTGCTGTTAGTTTCGGCATTATTAACTTACTTTTCCCTCATTGTCTTTGTTATTTACGGGGCGGCGTCGATAGCGAAGTCCATTTTGGCGTGACAGTTTTGCCTGGCTTATCACAGGTTTTTGGCTTGGGATCCAATTATCGATCGTCCTAACGCGCTAGATTATCCCACCAGTTGGCAACCCACGAAGCCATAGCTGTTAGTGCACCGTGATAGATTCAAGCGCGTCAGATCGTTTGTAATTAGAAATATGCGCCGCGAGAGGGGGGAGAAGGCCGACCTCACCCTCTCTTCCCTCCCTCAGACACCAGCCCGCTGTCCGGGCCGGTCGGTTGTCTGATGGAATGATCGGGCGCGATGTCTGGCAGAGCCAAAAACAGACTGCGCGTGCCACGCACACGGCCCAACATCCAAGAACAACACACTAGGATTTTACACATGGAAGGGAGGAGTGGACTATTCGGACCTCACATGGGCGAGAATGCTATGAAGGTCCCATGACGAAGGAGCCGAAGAGCGTGATTTCTACTAACGGGAAAGATGCTGATTCCGTGCTTGTGGTGGATACTGAGGGACGAGTTAATACGTAATGTATGTGCTGGTGGGAAGTAGGGATGCCCAGTGGGGGGTCCACGTGATGGTCGTAGTCGGTCGCTCGCCTGCTTGCATGTATTGATACGCCTAGCGTCCATTAACTGGCAGCCAACTCTCTTCTGTTGCTTCTCGAAGCTAGGCTCTGCCTAGCGACCACACCCCGGTAATCGCCTCGACCGGCGGACTAAACTGGGCTGACGATATCCGGGGCTCTGTGCGTTCCCACACTCGGTAACGCTGCTTCCCCTCCAACCCCTACTCCCACCCCGATCCCCTCTCTGCCATCCCTACCTCCCCTCTCCCATGTCCCTCCTTATCTCCCCGCTAATTCAAAAGCCCTATGAAGAGGGCGAGGACCACCGTCGGCTGGACGGGTCATCGTCTCATCATCCCCAAGCTGAGGCTCCGTCTGCAACTCCGCAGGAGGCCACAAGGTTGGTGACTCCTAGGCAAGTAAAATAACTTTCTGTTATATACAATTCTGTTGAATTTCCCTACTCACCGTTTGCATTGAAGCAATCGTAGGACTATTGCCCTGTCTACCGCAAGGCATCAAGGACAGCCGGATGAGCCTGCGTATGCATCTTTGGGGATAAAACTACACCACCGGCATCATGGCCTATTCCCCAACCATGACCGATCTGACGAGGTGAAGACCAAGATCTATAAACACCTCCAGGCCCTCCTGCTATGTGTGCCGAAGATGGTTCTAGCCGACAAGGAGGTCAACTCCAACGCTATAGGGATACTCTGGAGACCTCCCTGAAGCGCCTGCAGATAAACGCGGCAAACCAGGAAGACCTATCTCGGGAGCGACCTACGTGGAGGAGAACAGTGTTGACAGGCGCAGCAATCTTCAAAGCTAACCGCATCACCGCGACCAAAACCAAACACGAGATACGCGAATATTAACTATCGCTGCCGCCGCCTCACAACATAAACGCCCAACTGCCTTCAACGTGTCTACGGTGTCAAAGGGCATTCCGAGTGCCAACTGGACTTGTTGGACACCTCCGAACCAACTGCAGCACCTGGACAGCGCCAACCGTCGTCTCTTCACCCACCTTTCCCTCGCCTCCCATGCCGTCAACTAACGTTGACTGTCCTCCTCCTCCTCCTCCTCCTCCTCCTCCTCCACCACCACCACCACCACCACCACCGTCTCAACGTCTGTCGCTATGGCGTCTGTCATGCCCATCAACACTACACACAATCCTGGTACATCAACAAACGTGTGTGCTAGGCCATTATCAGCAAGCCACTGGCATCGCAGCCTTGTATTCGCTAACTGTTCCCCGACACCTGGTTCCCTACTGGTAGATGTGCTTGCGCTCCCGCTGGGTTTACAGGTGGTGGGCATGGCTGCCCAGTCATCATCGTCCTTCTGCCCCCTGTTGGGGTGTTGCTGCTGTTGGTCAGAAACACGGTCATTTGCTGTGTGGACCAGGGGGTGGGGAGTGAAACGCCAAACTGAGGATCCGTCCAAACCATGCACCTGCGTCCTCCCCCGCCTCCGGTCTTCTTGACTCTGTCTTGACACCGGGTTCAGGTGGGAAGTAGGGAAGAGAATGTGCGTTAGATGCATTGAAAGTCTACTACCACTGTAAACTAATTCACGCGCAAGTCAACGTGCCTGCTGCACCTTGCTGTGTAGCTTACGCTGGACATCGTCGGAGACGACGGTCGAACTGACGATGCATGCACCAGATGCGGGACATCCGAACTCACGGAACTTTTCATCTGAATTAAACGCGCCAAGTACTTGTGTGGTATCCGATATATGTGGGGTTTCAAGCCATGCTGATCAGCGAGTTGTATCTAATTTACTGCCAGCCGGCCCCAACTGTCCACTGGTACAGGAAAATGGAATCAATCCTGCGTGTGCTCTCCGCACTGCATTTAACCTACCTCGTTGTGTTATTGGATTGTATCAGGATTTGTGACTCAGACATTTACGAGTTGGACTTAGATAAAGAGATAGTTGGGTCGCAACGCCACCTTCTCACCGTATTCCTATTTCAACAGTCACCGGCGTGACATTAAAGGGCGTTAATTCTTATTTACGCCAGTGAACTGACCGACGCTTGTGATGCTCTACTTCAGGTCACTCGGTGCGTTGTGTCCATCGCCAGCCCCATATTCTGCCAGCTGATCGTGACGAGTGTAGGGGGAGAGAGAGAGGCCCGTGTTGCACACCTTTCCCTCGCCACAGTCAGATGCACGCACAATTTCAGTCCTCGGCGTTTTTGGCGGACGTCTTTTCCAACGGACGCACCAAAACTTTCAATCCAAGCCCAACACACCTTGCTGACTTGCGGAATTTTTGGTTTGTACAGTGTTCTGAGTAAAATCGCACAGAAGATTCCGTAGTGAATATGACAAAGTATAATGCAAGTTGCCCGACAAAAACCTTTTGAGAAAATACGAAAATATGTTGAAGGAAACAATGCGACGAAACATGCGGGGTAACGTCATGTCACCTTTACCGTGATGGCACATTAGCCCTGTAAAGGTTACAGGGTTGGAGGGCTGCTAACAATATTTTTGCCAAACCTGCTACTGATGGACATCCTCATAGATAGAAAATACAACAGATTTCAGGTCGAAGTTTTCACTCATATTTTTATTCGACGTCTTGTGCTCTCTGTGGGCTTTTAGGCAAATTTCGCAAATAATTTCAGGTTGCGCTAGAACAAACCTTTCAGTGTACGCGTTTGGGTCGGTTCGGTTCACGAGTTGACTCCATTAAGTTAGGTGGACTAGCTCACTGCTGCTATATTCATTCTGCCTGACAATCCGACCGTCGCGTCCGACGATGTCCACTGTGTGCTTCATAACAGAGGTGTTCCACACCTCGGGGTCAGACATGACCGGCTGACGACGACTAATAAGTCATAAATGGCCATTCAAGTCTTCCCTGACTTTGTCTGTTGCTTCTTCAAATGTCTAAAAGGGAACGAACATTCCAGGCTGCCGGGATAAACGGACTCACCCTAGCAGCCTGTGGAGTGGGGCAGAGGTGAGGAGGAGAGGAAAGGCGGAGATTCTTGTTCCTTTTTGGTGTTTTCGGCCGCAGGTATTGCAGTCTACGAGCCACGGTCTGCGCGCAGATGTTGTGAACCCAGCATTTGTTTAGGGCGCCTTTTATAGCCACCGCCCCTCGCGGGGGTAAGCAGTACTGCCCCGAATTAGAACTTCTGGGTCGTATGAGAGGTTGCCGAAATCCGCTATGCGTCACGCATTGGTCTAGTGAGGGAACAACCCGATAGGTCCGGCCCGCCTACGTGACTGAACGTCGCCCTCACCGTAGGAGATTTCGATCGTGGGGGAAAAGGGTAGAGAGGGAGAAGGACGGGTGGGAAGGAGAGGGGAGAAGGAGGGAGAGGAAGGGCGGAGAAGAGGGCCGGAGGAAAGGGAAGAGCAGAAAAGTGACAGGAAGATGAAAGGAGAAGGGGGAGAGAAGCGGATTTATCGTGTGTGAGGAAACACACACGGGTAGCACCACATGGATGAGACCACCGGTCGATGAGATTGCCGGAGTGCGATTGCCAGACAAAATACACTTTCGAAGAGCCGCGTGTGAGAGTTGGTCGGCAAGAACTGGACAGGCCTACTTCAGTGCCCGCGTCGGGGTAGACTGCTCGGCCCGGAGGGGAGTGTTGGGTCCTCACGGAATCGTCGGCTGCAAAGACAATGGCCTCCTTCTTTAGACCTGCGCTGAACATTGCCTCATCCCGACCAAAACTTCCTTCCGCCTGCCGATGCGGAAGAAAGCCCCCTGGATACACCCCCGATCGCGGCGCTGGCAGTTGCTCGACTATGTTCTTGTCCGACAGCGAGATCGATAGGATTTATTAGTGACCAAGCCGATCTGTGATGCTGATGGCTGGACGGACCACCGTCTCGTCCTCTCCAAGAGGAGGCTCCGTCAGCAACCCCCACAGGAAGCCACAAGGTAAGCGACCACCAGGCAAATTGAATACGGCCTTGTTGTCTTTGTCTGCTCACTGTTTGTATGTCAGCAATCAACTGATCCAGCGGCTAGAAGACCTGCCAGCTGCAGATGAAAACGCCTCCGTGGAAACTTAATGGTGTCAACTGCGGGACGCCGTCCATTCGACCGCCCTGAGTGTCCTCGGCCGCGCACGTCGCCAGCATCATGACTGGTTCGACAACAACAACAACAACAGCAACAACAACAACAACACATTCACCAGTAACCTACTCGCAGAGAAGAAGAAGAAGAAGAAGAGCCTGTACATCAAACGGAAGATATACAAGGCCGTCGTCCTGAGGACACTTCGCTGCGGAACGGA